TCACAGCCTCCACCTCTTCCCTCCTAGAGATCCCTGCAAGATAGCAAAAGGAAGAGATCAGATTCTTGCCTGGGAGCCTTAGTGGTCTATGTGTCTTAGTGGTCTGGCCCACTAAGCAAACAGTATGCTGGAGGCAAGGTCACACTCTCACTGCTAGATCTTTCATCTCTTCCCACATCCACAAGTCCTGCTGGAGAGCCACGCAGTTTCACCTTCAGGCACCCAAGTGGATAGATTTTATGGCTCAGCACACTTTAACCCATCTTCTGCATGTTGGACTTTGGCTCCAATCTCACAGTCATCCCATGGGTAACATTTTAAAATTCCCCACGAATGTTTCACAGTGCCCAGCATTTGTCAGGGTGCTTCTGCCACCAGGATCCAACAAACCACCAACCAACAAACCAGGGTGAGGACTTCCCGGAAATCCCCAGACTCAGCTTACATAGCTTGCACATGACTTACAGGTCATGCGATGGCCTTTGGCTATCAAATATCTGGACAGCATTACAGGACACAGCCAAGAAGATACATGCTCCACCACCCATTTCCATGAGCAGCCTTTCCCAACAACAAGCCTGTTCCCCCTCTTTCCTCCTGGATAAGATCTCCTTTAGCCAATCCTTACTGAGTCCAGGCCTGTGCACCTCCCGCAGGGTGTGTGTCATGCCAGCTTTGTAGCCCATGAAAGCCGTCAGATGGATTGGTTTGCTGGGGTCATCCTTAGGCCATGTCTTCACCTTCCCGCGGTGGCGACGGCTTCTCTTGTGAGGAAGGAAGCCCAAGTGGCCATGCCTAGGAGCAGAGAATTTGCGGTGGGACTGTAGAAAGGAGAAACAAAAAACATCAGACTCATCCTTGGGTCCCAGAAGATACTCAAAGGACTGAGCCCAAAGTACAAGAGGAAATATCCCTTTTAACACCGGTGAATACTGGAAGGATTCTGGGCTTCTTCTTATTTCCAACACAAGAGAATTTGAAATGGCATGGGCTTTTGTTTAAGGTTCTACCACTCACATCAAAGAATTTAGTACGTTTCTGGAAAAATGGCGCAGACTAACTGAAAACAATCTTTTTCCTTTCTGCTTCAACAATTTCAAGGAGAAATATGTTATTTAATAGGTCTGCTATACTGTGATGTTAACTGCAATTTTTATTTTTAGAATCATCAAAAAGGGCCTGCTCAGACTTCACAGGGCCACATTCAATGCTCTGTCATCAAGGCAAATGGCACCAAGCAAGCACAGCTAACAGTCGGAAGAAACCAGAAAGGATGCCCAAAGGAATCAGTAACAAGAACATGTGCAGGTTAAATATGTAATCCGAATCCAAATTAGCAGAGCTAAATATACAAACCCCAATCCCTAGTCAGGTTGTGTCAGGCAGAGAAAAGCAACAGCGTTTTAGAGAGACATTGACAAATTCTTATGGTATTGGCTTCAAGGCGGGGGATCTAGGGGCCAGCCCAAGAACCGAGGAGTTAGATCTATGCCCACTACAACTCCTTCCTTGTAGACCAGTTACAGAACCTGGCTGCACCTTCCATCAAGCCTTTTTTCCAACCCAAGTGGAGTTATGTCAGGTCCACCCCACTTCAGCTGCACTAATTTAACCAATAACCTAGCCCTGCTCACTGCCCCTTTCCATGCAATCCAAAAGGCAGCAGTGCCGAGCTTTACAAACCATGGGACGTCTTCAGCTCAAGTCAGCAGCAGGAAGAGGCTATCGCTATGTGCCCCTCCTGTTTAATACTTAAGACACAAATTTAGCCACTAGCTTCATTGGATGCGATATTCATTTCACACTTAGCAAAGCTGCCAGCTTTACCCTAACAGTTGGGATGTGGTAAAGGTCAACTGCTGGTGTCTCAGTTTACGGCTTTCCCTCCTCAAGTCCATCATGAATGGCACCAATCACAATAGCTTCGCAACTGCACACAGCACAGCCAAACCGTGGGAGCACCTTCAAGGGGCACAGCCAGTGGCCAAACTCTGGGTAGGGACAGATTAAGAAGTCCTACATCAGGCCAGGAATAAAGGCTGTGATTCTTCCTGGGGTAGAGATTGAGCCAGCAGGCACAGAGAGCAGAGTGAAAAGCTGTGGTAAGGTGCAGGTCAGCTTCTGCTCTCAGGTAACAGTGACAGGATGAGAGGTGACGGCCACACGCTGCACCAGGAGAGGTTCAGGTAGGAAATTAGGAAACAGCCCTCTGAAAAAGCAGTCGGGCATTGGCACCGCTGCCCAGGAAGGGGGTCGGGTCACCATCCCTGGAGGTGCACAAGGAGCGTGGAGATCCAGCACTGAGGAACACCATCAGTGGGCATAGTAGGACGGCTTGGCGTTGGACTTGGGATTTGCTTTCTCAACCTTAGTGCTACTACATTTCCATGCCTGAAAACATGAAGCCAGTCCTCGCCTAGCCGCCATAGCAGCGGACTACAATTCCCAGCATGCACCGCGCCTCGAGGGAGCATGCGCGGAGCCACGCCCTCTGACCTCTGCGTCCGCCGCCGCCGGCGCTGTGCGGGGCGCCGCCATCTTCTCCTCGTCCCCGCCGTCCGCCCAGCTCCGCCGCCGCCATGCCGGACGATCCGGACCCGGAGGTGTATAAAGCGCCGCCGAGCCGTACTCCGGTCTCGGAGAGCACCTCGACTCTGCCCAATCCGGTCACCCTCATCCAGACTGCGTTCAACTATATCATCGATGCGCCCGTTACCTTCGTACGAGGTACAGACCGGTCACCGGGCTGAGCGCGGCCTTCCCGCTGCCGTCGGAAGGGCAGCGATGCGGTGTGGGGACGGGGACACGGGACGGACACGGGGACACGGGGACAGGCAGTGCACGCAGCGGTGGTGGCACAGACGGACGCACCGGGCTGTGAGGTGCCTGACTGTGCCGCTGCTGTTGCAGAGTGGATCGAGCGCCAGCAAGCCAAGAACAAGTCCTATTACTACCACCAGAAGTTTCGCCGCGTGCCCGACCTAAGCGAGTGCCTGGAGGGTGATTACCTCTGCTTCTACGAGGCTGAAGCGCAGTGGAGGAGGGACAGGTACGGCTGGCACAGGGCTGCCCCCAGCGGGGGGTCACAGAGCGCTCCCGCTCTTCTCGGTCGGCTGTGGGAGTCGTGGGGGTCGCATTGGAATCGCATGGATTTTGGGGTGTTGAATGGTTACCTAAGCCACTGTGTCTACCCCCTTACAGAACACTGGTGGTTGCAGTCATTCTGTCCCCTGGAGCCTGCTTAGCTGGGCAGGCTAGCATTAGTGTCATCCTGGTTTCTGCAGTTCTGCTCTTCTGTAGTCCATGTGTTGCAGTTGCATTCCGACTCATCTCCCACACAGGTTGGTGGATCAGCAGATTGTGGAAATAGTCCGGGAAAGGCTCGGTGCATGCAAGCACAGGGAAGGACCAAACCATTTTCAGAATTGTGCCAAGGAGGCGAAGCAGCTTGCACAGGTTACCAAAGCCTACCAAGACAGATGTGAGTACTGCAGCCTTTACATCTGCCATAGCTGTAACAGCATATGGGGAAAAGAAGGTTCAAAAGATCTTTTCTTTGCATTAAAACTCCCTCTTGGAAAATGCTGCAGATCTGAGCTCAGCGTTCAGATGTGCCAGACCCACTGGGCCTGGGCAGTGACACTCCTAAGCACAGCACAGCTGACACTCCTACAGTATCGAAAGCTGTGTGCATTTCTCTCTCAGCACTGCAGCTTGCACCTGTCCTAAGCGCCACACTTCACCTGGGTCAGACCTGGTTCCTCCTAGCTGCTGAGGGCTACTCTTCAGACATTCACATTGTTACCTTTCCTTTTAGATGGTGATCTTGGTGTCCACGGAAATGCCAGGACATGTCTGATGAAGCAGAAGCACAGGATGATAGAAGAAATGAAGGCACAAGAAAATGCATCTCAGTAAATCTGGATACAGAATAATTAGCACGTCTGTCAGTGGTGCTTTTATCAATCCTGTGTTGCATCTGTGAACTGTGATGCTCTACAATAAACTTGCAAACCCAAACATCTGCCATGCCATTAGCATAGACTCATTCTTTGAAGAGGTGTGCAAAAACTTAGAATTCTTCCTGCTTGAGATCTGTTTCAGTTGGTTGTTACCACTCTCTAAATGAAGTCAGCTCCATGTACCCACCCCAGCTGTGGTACCCCAGGGTGTCCCTGCTGGATTTCTCTATTACCATTAATCTACAAACCATTAATTCTGCTCTACCTAACCATGGTAGGGAGCACCCTCAGAGTAAACACACTGTGAAAGGACAGTATAAGGGAATATTATTTTCCCCTCTCTTTGGTTACAAACCCCACTCAGGATTAATGTATGATTAACAAGGGTTAGTGTAAAACATTCTGTTCCACCCAACAGATGTTCAGGCTGTAGCCCACAAACTTGAGCCTACTCAGATCCCAAGCACAGACTTAATCCATCTGCCCAATACACAAAGCATTCAATCAAACCAATTTCTTGTCCACTGACCACTTTATTGCCTTGTACAAAAACCACTTAAGTAGTTGCCACAGCAGCTGCCTGGGTTCTCTGCACTGAGACTCTGGTGTGGGTCTTAGCCAGATGATCAGTGAACTCCTGGATTAAAACAAAAAAAATAGCATTTAGTTTCTGTAAACCACTGTGGTGCCTTCTCAGCATCGGAACTTTTCAACAAGCTGTGTACACTGGGGTGGGATTTTCAGTTACAGTTCTGTTACTTAATATTTCACTTATTTCTTTCTTATTGAACCATGAAATGCTACTTAAGTACAAACTTATCAGACTATCAGGACAATGTGAGCTGGGAACTGAAGGAAGCGTTGCATGTGTACCTGGTAAGGAGACTTGGTGAAAACAGTCTCTTTCCAGAGGTCAGGAGTCAAGTAACTGTATGTCTTGGAGATGGCATCGAAGGTGGCCTTGGCTATGGAAAGAAGTTAAATATTGCACATCACTGTTACAGAAATGAACTCCTGTACCCATTTACACATCTCCAGAAGTGTAGAATTTCAGAGGAAACAGAGAGACCATAACAAGATCTCTCTGTTATACTCTTAAAATTCAGTTTCCTTTCTCTCTCCATTTACGACAATTACACTACTTCAAGCAAGTGCAACCGCGCAGATTGGGAGATTGGGAGCTTTCCATTTGCCATGGACTTAACAACACCGCAGCACTATTTTCCCTTCCAGTAAAACAACACATGCATAACTACAACGCAATAACCTCACACTTACCAAAGTTGCCAAGCGTGGCAGTACAGCCCCGGGCTGAGGTATAACAGTCATCGATTCCAGCCATCATCAGCAGCTTCTTGGGAACAGGGGCAGACACGATGCCTGTACCACGAGGCGCCGGGATCAGACGCACCAGGACAGATCCGCACCGCCCAGTAACCTATGAGCACAGCAGGTTCCAGCTTCCACAGCACACACCACGGCGCGACTCACAGGCAATGCACAGCATGTTGTTCTTACCTTGCAAGGCACGGTGTGAGGCTTGCCGATCTTGTTCCCCCAGTAGCCTCGTCTCACTGGTACGATGGATAATTTAGCCAAAATGATTGCCCCACGAATCGCAGTAGCAACTTCTTTAGAGCATTTAACACCAAGACCAACATGGCCGTTGTAGTCTCCAATGGCAACAAAAGCCTAAAATGGAAGGAAAGTTTTCAGCCAAGGCTTTGTCATGCAGGAACTCTCTCTCAGCAGAACATAATCCAGCAGGATCTCACCACAGATAACCAGAAGCATATGATCACAGCTACAGTACACTACAACTAAGCAGTTGTTAAAGCAACTCCTATAACTTATAAAGTTACGAAGCTTAGTAAGGTGCTGTATGGGCTGCCAGAGAGGTTGTGGACACCCCATCCCTGGAGGTGTTCAAGGCCAGACTGGATGGGGCCCTGGGCAGCCTGGTGTATTATTAAATGTGCAGGTTGGTGGCCATTGTTACAGAAGAGAATTGGAGCTTGATGATACTTGAGGTCCCTTCCAACCCGGGTCATTCTGTGATTCATTATGTCTGAGAAGCATAATTCTCCCCTTACAGTTTTGCCTCCCAGATCAAAAGTAACAAAAGAAAACTGGGTTTTAGATTTCTGATGCAGCCACAATTATCACAATCCAAATAATGTTCAAGAAAAAAATCCACAGAAGAGATTACCTTAAACCTGGTACGCTGACCAGCACGCGTCTGTTTCTGGACAGGCATGATCTTCAACACCTCATCTTTCAGAGAAGACCCCAGGAAGAAATCAATGATCTCTGACTCCTACAAGATTCAGCCATTTAATCACACTTCTAAGCCACACTTCTAAGCTGCAATCTCCACACAAAACAAAACACACAAGTCTCACTGCTCTTCTCTGCAAATGAGTCCGGAGTCAACTAAATAACAATACAGCTCAACTTGAGTGTTCTAAATAACAAATGCAGCAACTGATGCCAATTTCACAGTTCAGACCGAGACCTTGCTGCACACTGCTCACCAGCTCTGAGCATCCACAGAACCTCACCTTGATGGGAAGGGAGAAGAGGTAGATCTCTTCCAGAGACTTGATCTTCATATCCTTGACCAGGCGACCAAGTTTGGTGACAGGAATCCACTAAAGACGAAACAAGTAAACGACAATGGGCTTGCAGCATCTTCTGGAGGTATAGGGACTACAGACAACACCACGGGTCAGCCCGACATAACGCTCCCCACCCTGCAGGCTCCACTCACTTCCTTATCCTCTGCTTTGCCTCCACGGGCCCCGCGGCCTCTCCCTCGGCCCCTACCACGGCCGCGCCCGCGGCCCCGCAGCCCGGTACCGAAGCCGCCGCGGAAGCCTCCTCGGGCGGCTCCTGCCCCTCCTGCAGCACCGGCGTCGTCCGCCATTTGCTATACAAAAAGAGAGGTACATTAGCCAGAACACCGCCACCATCAACTAGAAATAACTACGCGGCGCGATCACAAAGCCCGGCCGGGACCCATCCGGCGAGGCACGGCCGGCCCCACACCGCAGGCGGCTCGGATGGGCGCGGATAGAGCGGAGATCGCAAACGGCCGCCACCCCACAGCCATCAGCACTTACGTGTTCCTAGAGTAGAAGGCCGCCACTCGCCGCCGTCCGTTATTTATACTCAGAAAGTTCTCGCGAGAACACCTCTGTGTAGTGCCAACCCGGCGCGCTGAATTCTTAATACACTACAGCGCGAAAGGGGCGTTAACCGCTTAATTATACAGGGTGCGGGGCGGGAGGGCCAGCTGGAAGCTGTACGCATGCACCACCTCTACGCATGCGTAGTCTCATGGTATAAAGGCGCGCACACGTGGGACTGTGGTCTAATAAGTAAGGAGGTTGGTGAGTTGGGGTGTCTTGTGTGGGGTAGACGGGTTTGGTTTGTTTGCTTCTTCGTTTTTTTTTCTTTTAGTTGTGTTTAGAGATTTTAAGCCTTTGCTGGAGTTGTGTTTGCGTTATAAGCTGTGCTGGTAGGGGGTGGGTACAGAAAGAAGACTGTTGGTGTGAGGGCTGGGAAGCAGCGTTTGGCACAGTCTGAAAATCATCTGCGGTCTCCTGTGGCCTCCGGTGAGATAACTGTGCCGACAGCATAGGGAACATCAAAGCTTATTGCCCACGGTGACGGTGTGTGGGGAGTGAAACCCATGTTCCCATAATTTCAGTGAGGGGCCCTGGGGGTGGCCGAGTGTGAGGGCGGTGTGTAAGTGCTGTGCGTTTCCCCGCAGGTATAACAGCCCGGCTAGGATCCTTTATGTGAAGATGAGACAAAAAGCGTCTTCGTGAGAAGGGCGGAGGATTTACAGTTAGAATACTTCAAAGCTCTGCAGAACGGTTATAAAAGAATGATTATGTGAATGGAGCTGAGCACTTTCAATAAAAATTTACTTAAACACTTTCTCGAGTCCTGCTACTTGTATTTTTGTATAGTCCGCAAACTCTGGGGTTTGAAGGGTGTGGGTGTAGTGCTGGAACATAACTCGGACGAGTGGGAAGCCGTTCCCAGCCGCCTTCCGTTCCGTAACGGCAGCGGTTTGTTCCGACGGAAGCGGCTCCGCGCCCTGCGCTTCCTTTTCCCACGTGAGGCGCAGAGAGGGTGCTTCCTGTGTTGGTTGTGCGTTATTCACATGCGCCGGAAATCCAACTCCCGCAGCCGGAAGTCCCGCCCTCGAAACCCGGAAGCGGCCTGCACGCGGATCGCAGGGTGTCATGGCCACGGCGGCGGGCAGCGCGGTGCGCTTCAAGAGCAAGTGAGCGGGGCTGGGGCTGGGCTGTGCGGCCGTAAGGTTCGCCTTTGGGAGCGGCCGAGCTGCGCTGTCTTCGCTTTAACAATCTGTCCATGCATTTCCCTTTCTTCCTCTCTCAGTTATGCTGTGTCGAGGAAAATCGAGCCGTTCTACAAAGGAGGGCGAGTGCAGGTAGTGGTCGCCTACGGCCGTTGTCTCTAGAAGGGGCTGGGGAGCGCCCTGCTCCCTGCTGGGCCACCCCCACTGCCTACTCTCAGCTCTCCATCCTCTGTTTTCTAGGTAAGCCGGGATGGAAAGTTCATGTTCTGCCCCTGTGGGACCAAGTTGAACGTGATCGATGTCGAGACGGGAGCTCTGCTGCACAGCCTTGAGCAGGTGAGGGAACACTGAAGCGTTTCCCGTGGCTCTCAGGCCTTGTAACTGATGTGTTTTGAAGCTTTTGGGAGTCGGAATAGAGGGGTCTGAGAACTGCAACCGTGGCTGGTGTTTGCATTGTTTATCACTGTGTGCGTGGTGCTGGGTATGCTTGGGTCAGTAGAAGCTGTGGCAGAGGAAGGCTTGAGAGCACTCTGAAGCAGTGCACGGATGATTAACTGTGTTTTTATCACTTTTCAAGGACGACCAAGAGGACATCACTTCATTTGTTCTCAGCCCTGATGATGAGGTATGTGTATGGCTGTGTTTGCTGTGTGTTTTTCTTTCCTGGGCCTCCTGATAAGTCCAGTGAAGTCTGAGGAGTGTTCTGCCGTGAATGTCCCTGGGGAACTCTGTGGAGTCTGTTATCTCTTCTGGGTTCGAGTCAGATGTAGCAATTACTGTTGATTTTTTTTTTTTACTGTAATTAGCTACAAAGATGTATCCAGGGACAGGAATACGTTTTACTCTATCCTGTATATATGCAGAAACTCTATTAGTTGATGTTTCATTTAAATCCTGATTTTTTTTCTAGCTGCTTTCCAGCATCCATGCATATACTGAAGCACTGCAGGTCAGAGCTTCTGGGAGAGGTTTCCTGTTGTTTCTGATGTTTGTCTCTCAGTTTTGAGGAGGTCTTTGTGAACGCTTGTTATGCGTTCGGTGCATTTCCTAATACATTTTGGAACAAGTATTAGTCTTATGAATGAATGTTGAGATACTAAGGTTCAAGAACATCATAGCAATGGATATTTATGTTGTTTGTGTATTGTCACTGATGGAAGTGGCTGATTTTGCTTTCCTTTGCCTTGCTTTTCTATAGATTCTTGTGACAGGAAGCCGAGCCCTGCTGCTGAAGCAGTGGAATTGGCGAGAGAACAAGTGTGTGCGCACATGGAAGGCAGTGCACATAGCACCAGTAGCTACCATGGTCTTTGACTCTACTTCAACACTGTTAGCCACAGGTATGATCCTATTTCAGCCTGACTTAATGCAGCATGAGGTGGTGAGCTCTCTGTTACATACATCATCATAAGAGGCTTTATATATGTGTAAAGTGTTTTATTGAGAGAGTTCTTCCAGTATTCGAAAATGTTTTTAGTAAAGTGCTGGTAAATATCAGGGATTTATGAGACAGCGTGGCATAGTTAATCTGAATGTGCAGTTAGGGATCCTTGAAGATGGAAGACAAGCATGAACTCTAATGTGTCAGTTTATTTTGAAGTTTATTTTCTGTGGACAGTCAGATTTTATAAGCGTGAAGTACTCATGAACTTCTCTTGGTGTGGATGGCTGTTCCTGGATTCATTTTTTTCCTGCTGCCTTTGTTACTCATTAAATTTTACAGCTGTTGCAGTGTTGGACCTCCTTTCTTCATTCTGGCATGCTTTTCTTTTCTAAGGTGGCTGTGACAGCACCATTAAGATCTGGGATATGGTCAAGCAGTATTGCACACACAACCTGAAAG